AACGCACTCACGATAGTGCGAACTGAGTTCTATACAATTATCAAACGAATGTTTAATAAAGAATTGTCCATAAACCATGTAGTGATATCGTAGGCATTCCTACACCCCTCCTTTCCTTGATGTAACCTAACATAGCTTATTCAGAGACTCTGGAGGGGTCTTAACGCAGATTTCTTTTACACTTCTCTTAATTTTCCACTAAATATGTACATAGGTATGTATTTAAAAAAATATTCCATTTTAAGTGATTAATATATTATAATAAGTATATTTCTAATATATCATACAATATATATACTTCAATATATGTAGTCTAGCATTTAATAGAAACTTGAAATCGTTGAGAAATTACATATGCAAAAGTAATGCAGTGGGATGGGATGTATATTGTATGGTTAAAATATTGTTGCGAAAATGCGAGGCGAATATTAGATGAAGAGAGAAGTACATTCTAAACGAGAACCTTTCATAGCGAACAACTCGATGATTCTACACTTTCGTCTGCGAGCAGCCGACTGCTATATANAGTTAGTGACAAAGTGAACTGGTTGGCGTTAACATCAGTAAAGCCGGAAAGTAAACGCGTTGGAGATTACATTTAAGTAAAGTAAATTGTGAAAGTTGATGCTAGTGATTGTAGCTAGTAAAGTGCGTTGTAATTGAATTGTGAATTACGGAGTAAATAAAGGACATTAGATAAATTCTTTATAACGAAAGAAACTGCAAATTAAGTTGGCGAGTTTTTATTTAACAATCCAGAGATCGTACCCGAAGGATCTAGAAAATAGTCGAGGTTGATTTAGAAAAATCGTATCAATATCAAAACAATTAATCGATTCGATAAAGAACACCTTAATCGATTTAATTTGATACACAATTCTAGTGCGGACTTTAAATATTTTGTAAACAAAATAGGCTAGTTCTGGTTTTATGTAATTATAGTATACGTTAGCTTCTTTTTTCTTAGGTTTTGTAGATATGCACAGTATCAAGCGGTATATATGTTTTCATAAAAATTATCGAAGGGCTAATGGGCCATGGTTTTTGAAGTATCGGTGTGTTTATCATTCAATTTTGTTAAGTGAAAAATCTTTTTCTTCAACTGCGTGGCTGAGGAAATCCAATGACATAATGCAAAATAATGCGTTCAAAAAGGTTTATGATGTAGAATCTTCGAATTTTAATTTCAAATCTTTATTATATACCGAAGATGATGAAATTATTGCACAGCTTAATGCTTGTAGTAATGAAGGAGAAGTAAGTATTGTAGAATGTAGATATAAAATTGTACTTTAGATAACAATTAAGCACACTCAATATTTTTACAGTTACTGGCGTTTATAAAAACATCTGAGCACAAATTTAGGCCTATACATTTTGTCCAATCAATCCTTGTTCTTAAAGATGTTTTTCAAGATTTGGACAGTGGCTTAATGGACGAAATATTAAAAAAAATTTTAAGAGGCTTGACGCTTAGTTTAAATTCTTTGAATATTATTGAAAAGAGTTGCTGTTACCTTTATCTTCGAAAGATTGGAGTACCCAACACCAATATGGTAATGCAACAATTGCTATTGAATGCGTTAAAATGCGTTCGAAATACATCATCAGATGAACCGATTTCCCTAAATGTATTATCGCGTCTAGGAGTTGCGATTAATACCGGGCAAGATTTTCACGTTCCTACGGTCTGCAGCTCATTTATTCCACACATTGTTTATCATATCAAATATTGTAATACTGAAGAAAATTTACGCATGCTTTCAATAAGCATAATAAACCTCCAACAATTAATTACGAGCGATATTTTGGAAATATTTAAAACAAAAGTAAATATATTCATTGAACATGAAATAGTTAATTCAAAAACTATTAAAACAGTTATAAAATTACTACATTTGTTAAATTTGTCGGTGTGGTCACATAAAAACGGACAACTTATACGAGACCTCATGTTACTACTACAGCCAAACTTGTCCAATCTTACCATAATAGATCTTAAAGCAATAAGTAGAATTTTTGGTTATCATTTGGAACCAGCGTCTTTGATTGATCCACTTAAATCGTTGTTGACAGATTTATTTCAAAATGATCCGCAAAGTGACATTCTCGCTGCGTACATGCCGTTCCTAGAGCCTCATCGTCGGGATGCAATAACATCTGTATTTAAAAACTTGCTTTTTTCCTCCATGTCAATGCAAAATTATAATTCCGCTGCCGAACATTTCCAAATAATTCGAACCTTGAAAATATCCGACTCTAAGTTATGTGATGCGTACTGGGAGAATGTGTTGGATTCATTGAAAATTGATCAAGATAAGGATAAGGAACTTCGATTTTTAATACACTGTCATCGGTACATGCATTTCAATAATAATTTGGGTGGATCGTACCGATTTCTACCTTTAGAACGACGATTGACACAAGTGGCTATGGAAGCGATCGAAAATGATATAAATGGTTGCATACCTTCTAAATTCGCGCGCTTAGCAGCTTTTGTGTTAGCATATGGCCATACACCGTTTGGATGGAAAAAGTTCCCCAATATTATATTATCAAAAATTATATCAATGTCTGATCAATTCAATATAATGGATTGTTTATATCTTAGCCGTGGAATTCAAATCGCTTTGGAATTGCGGTAAAAATTTCATCTAATATGCGTTAACGTAATACCTCAATATGAGCTGCATTCGATCTCTGAGTATATTGATAAAGTGTGGCAGATACCGTCGAAAATTTGTTAAGAATCTCCAAATTAACCCAATTAAAAATTATTAAGAATTGCAGTTAAAGGAATATACATATGTATGTATCAATTTATGAGAACTTTCCAACATTTTAATTATTCTATAATATGGTCTAGGATTGCGTAAAAACAATAATAAAAACATCTAATATTACGCAATACCTTCCGAATAGGTTATTTTGACGTTAAAGAAAATTCAAATAGAAAAATTAAATAAATTGTTTAATTATTTATTTATTTGAAACATAGTTATTAATAATTATATTACAAAAGTAGATACACTAACCATAGGCATTGCATTACATTTTTGAGCACGAAAATATGAAAAGTTATTTTCATTTATTTTATGCACAAAAAGGTAATGAAGAATGTAATGTGTCGCTCTCGACCTAGGATATTTGTTATTAAGGTTAATGTTCATATTCCATACATTAACTTTTCCAATGGATATTGTTCGAAATATTCCCAACTATAAATATTTTTATCAAGGTAACAACTGCAAGAAGACATAAATAAGATTTCATTTTTTCTTTCGTTTTTCACAAAAGTAAAGAAGAGTTATGGGTGTCTGACACGCTTTAATATTATATAATACATCTGTGGTCGTTGCTGGGGTCGAAAATGATGATTAAAAAAATGTAATTAAAAGCGCTTTTGTGAATTTCTTTCGCATCAGTTGTTCACAAAAGAGTTTTATTTCAGGCGATAGAGCTAGAAGGTAAAGAAAATATGCCATCCTCTCTCAATTTATCCACTATTAAGCCAATCTTTTTTACGTGTGCTAGTATTTTAAGAAATCCTCTTTAAATTATTTAAAAATTAATGAAAATCAAATTATTAAATAAATGATATGATAATAAAGTAAAATTTTATGACTTATTTTTTTTTTTTTTATAGAAAATTAAAAAATAAAACAAATGCCTCGCCACGAATCGAATATTTTCGCTCAATGAGATAACAGCCCTTTTTTTTATCTAAGTCAACTATAAAAATGAATAATCTTAATGGGAAAAGACGCCAGGTATTTTTGCGTGCGTTGCGTTAGTTCGTAAATTTAATTTTAATTTTCAATCTTCTTTTTAAAAAGTAAACTGACAGCGAAATTTTGCTGGTTTCAAGTAAGTGCGATCATCGATTTTTGATTACCAGCGCTTATCTAAAATCGAATGCAACTCATATAAAACACTTAAGCTTTAACCATTTTTTTTTTAGATTTCGCAATATGATACCGTCATTATTAGGATTTCAACTTGCTACCATAGATAGCGTACTAGCAGACTGCGTTGAACGACATCTCGAAAATAAAAACCTTTCAATATTTGAATTAAATACTATAATGCGCACACTGGGATACAAAAAGTGTAAGTTTCTTGATACATTTTTATTACATATGTATTTAAACATTTTAATAAATAAGGCGTGCTGATGAGGTTATGATTAATTGATGATTATCTTTTTTTTATACATTCTTATATGCCAGTCTTATTTAAGACAAAAGCATAGTTTCATTTTTAATCCGAAACGTAAAATTTTCAGTTGTTCGTAAAAACGCCAATGTGTTAGCATAATAAAAATTTACCTACATAAGTAAACGATGTAGTTTTAGAATATGTACGCCTACGGATGACTTTAATTTAATTTTCCTTGCCGTTGCGTAAAACCGACTGTCGGGAGATTAAACCGACAACTCTCACGACAGCCGGTTCTACGCACCGGAGTTGACCCGGATTTTATCCGGCCAAGGGCTGTCACCCTTTCGGCGACCTAACCCCGTTTAGGTCTACAGGTAACCTTAGTCTAAGTACGTCAACGGAGCAACACCTCGCAGCTGGGTTGCTCCAAATCCTTCTGATCAAGGCTGGTGTAGAAACCAACCCTGGACCAACGGATTACTTCTGCTGCGTGTGTCAAAGAAGACTCCACCACTCATCCGCCTCGGTTAGATGCACCCAGTGCAAAGGCTGGAGTCATTTTAAGACCTGCTTAGGCCTTAAGACCCACAGGGAATGGACCACGAGTTATGTGGTCCCATGCTGCCAGCGTCCAACCGCCCCCCAGCCTCCATGGCAGTGCCTTTAGCACACATACCCACTCTGGGTAATCTGCAGACCTCCACGGTCTTACGGAGCTCCCCGCATCATGATTCCCTCCAACCTCCACCCCCATCCCCACCCACAACCAGCTCCTCATCCTCCTCCCTTGCGAGGGCTACCCAGCAGCTCCTGGTCGCCCGCACAGTCTGTTTCGTGTGTCAGACCATAGTGCGTCGGAACGTGACCTCAGTCAGATGCAACTTCTGCTCTGGCTGGTGTCACTTTCGGACGTGCTCTGGCCTGCGCACCACCCGTGAGTGGAGCGATGCGTACGTTGCCCCATGCTGTAGGAGTCTGCCCCCGCATGTCTCTACAAACCCTCCGCCAATCAACACCAATGTGCGGAACCAACTCTCGCGGGTAGTACAGCAGCAACACACACCATCCACGCATCACTCCCTCACCCCCTGAATCACGAACGTTCCCCCGAGACAGACCCGACTTCTACAATTCAACTGCAACGGACTCCAGGGAAAGATTGACGAGATAGTCGACTATATGAGCCGGGAGCACCTGTCAATTGCTGCGATCCAGGAAACCAAGTTGACCGCCCGATCAGATCTTCTGAACAGGGCCGGATACAACAACGTGCAGTATCGTCTCATCGATGGCGACATCGACCGCAGGGATACTACCCTAGAATGTCAGGGCATAGCTATCCGGTTAGGCGATGTCGAGCTCGAAATATTTAATATATACATTCCTCCAGCTACAAGTTGCCCAGCTGGATACACCCCTGACATAGGTGCGCTACTCAGGGGCGAAAACCGTTTGGTTTTGGGCGACTTTAACGCGCATCACGATCTTTGGCATTCTAGCCTGTCAAATGACCGTAGAGGAATGGAGCTGGCGGAACAGATAGATGATTCGACATTCTGCACAATGAACGACAACACCCCCACCAGAGTTATGGGTAATTGCCAAAGCTCGCCAGATATAACAATTGCGAATGCTGGTCTGATAAACAGTATAGTCTGGCGACCTATACTGACGTTAGCATCGGACCACTTGCCCATACATATCTCGATTGACAGGACTCCTGACTTTGTTTCCGCGGACCACCGGACATTCGTTAACTTTAAAAAAGCTAGCTGGCCCGGATTCACGGAATTTACCGAGAACGCTTTTAGTGCTCTTACCGCTCCAACTGACGTCACCACTGGTGAACGCTCATTCCGCAGGGTCGTCGTGACCGCTGCCGCCCGCTTCATCCCGGCAGGCCGAATCGCGGAAATCCGCCCAAATTTTCCGACAGAAGCGGCGGTACTAGCAACCAGGCGCGACACCCTCCGAAGCTCCGATCCCGGAAATCCCCTAATCAGGGATTTAAACGCGGAGATTCGAAGAGTTGTTAACAGTCATAAGCGGAAAAAGTGGGAGGACCACCTAAGGACCTGCAACCTCTCCTCTGGGGCAACTAAGCTCTGGGCCACAATCAAGTCGCTGTCTAACCCGACGAGACGCGATGACCGGGTGGAAATTTAATTCGGTGATCGCGCCTCGTCGGACCCGAAGCGAGCTATTTTAGCCGTCTTTTTACATTGCATCCCTCGGTAGACAAAGCGAAACGACGTGTGCCCCGCCGTATGCGCAAACTGCCAAACACCAGCGCGGTGCTTGATTTCTCCAGGGAGGAGGTTCAGGGGGTCATCGGGAAGGCAAAAGCCTCCAAATCCATCGGCCCCGACGGAATAAGCATGCTGATGCTGAAACACCATGGACCAGCGGGAGCAGAATTTCTCACGAAGGTCCTCAGTTTGTCTTTGACCACCCTGAAGATACCCGACGTGTGGAAAATGGGTAGGGTGGTCCCGCTACTGAAACCGGGGAAACCAGCCAACAAGGGAGAGTCCTATCGGCCGATAACTCTCCTCTCTCCAGTAGCGAAGACACTTGAGGCCTTACTGCTCCCGACCTTCACTCACCATCTGCGTCCAGCAGCGCATCATCATGGCTTCCGAAAAGTGCACAGCACCACAACAGCACTTAACGCCATAAGCACCCAGATAGTTCATGGCCTCAACCAAAACCGACCCTGCGCGCGAACTGTCCTAGTAGTACTGGACCTGTCAAAAGCTTTTGACACAGTCAATCATTCAGTGCTACTAACGGATATTGAGGAATCCTCATTACCACCGGGGTTGCAGAGGTGGGTCATGGGTCACCTGAGTGGTCGACAATCATCGGTAATACTCCGAGGTAAAACATCTAAACCCAGAAAAATTAAACAGGGGGTTCCGCAGGGTGGTGTCCTCTCCCCGCTTCTGTTTAATTTCTACATCTCGAAACTCCCTCCACCACCAGAAGGAGTTTCCCTAACCTCGTATGCCGATGACTGTACGATAATGGCGTCTGGCCAGGATATTGATGACCTCTGCTCGAAAGTAAACGGCTACCTCGCTGATCTCTCCCACTTCTTCACTGCAAGACAACTACGAATCCAACCGACAAAATCCTCGGCTACCCTTTTCACCAGCTGGACGAAGGAGTACAGGCTTGAACTAGATGTAAAGGTCGATGACGAAAAAATTCCGACGATAAATAACCCAAAAATATTGGGAGTAACTCTGGACAGCCTGCACTCCTTCACTCCGCATACGACCGCAATTGCCGCAAAACTCCAGAGCCGCAACAAAATACTCAAAGCGCTAGCCGGCAGCACCTGGGGTAAAGATAAAGAAACTTTGCTGGCTACTTACAAAGCAATTGGCCGGCCGGTCGTAAACTATGCTGCTCCGATCTGGACGCCGGGGACGAACGGGACGCAGATGAAGAAGCTACAGGCTTGCCAAAACACCGCCCTTAGGACTGCGACAGGAAACCTCCTGATGTCGCCGGAGCATCACTTGCACAGGGAAGCATCTATGCTACGAGTTAAGGAGCATAATGCTTTGCTGTGCAAGCAGTTCCTACTGGGATGCTACCGCAGGGAGCACCCCAGTAGGCACTTAATAGAAGCTGAACCTCCACCTAGGCACATCAGGAAGGGAGTACTAGACCTCAAAGACACGATCCAGCAACACACACAACAACCGCTGGACAGGACGGCGTATCGACAGGCACTGAACGCCATTCACCAGGAGTCAGTTAACACCTTCATGAACTCCCTTCCAGTGAATGGCGTACTCGGAGAAATACCACCACCCATAGCAGACAACGAGCTCGAGCTGCCTCGAGAGACCCGCGTGACCCTGACACAACTTAGGTCTGGATATTGTAGTAGGTTAAACTCCTACCTATCCAGACTAGACCCCAGCATACCTAACGTATGCCCGGCATGTGGAGAGTCCCCGCACGACACTAACCACCTCTTCACATGCCCCCTCAAACCTACTCATCTAACCCCCCATCTCCCTTTGGTCCAACCCCGTCGAAACAGCTCGTTTTCTGGGCCTACCATTAGATGACCTCGGCGACTGAGACTAATTAAGCCTGTGCCTAAGCGGGGTTAGCGAACCGCTACAACAACAACAACAACAGAGTTAAACCGAAACCTAGAAAAATTAAACAGGCGGTTCCGCAGAGTGGTGTCCTCTCCTACTACTGTTTCATTTTTACATTTCGAAACTCCCTCCTCCACCAGAAAGAGTTTCCCTAACCTCGTACGCCAATGATTCCACGACAATGGCGTCTGGCCAAGATTTTGATGACCTCTGTTCGAAAGTGAACTGCTACCTTGCTGATCTTTCTCACTTTCTCACTGCACGGCAATTGAAAATACAGCCGTACAAATCCTCGGCTACCCTCTCCACCAGCTCGTCGAAGGAATACAGGCTTGAACTACAAGTGAAGGTCGATGAAGTAAAAATTCCGACTGTAAAGAACCCAAAGATATTGGAAGTGACACTAGAGAGCTGGCAATTCTTCACTCCGTATACGACCTCAATTGCCGCAAAACTCCAGAGCCGCAACAAAATACTCAAAGCGCTAGCCGGCAGCACCTGTGGTAAAGACAAGGAAACTTTTCCGGCATCTTACAAAACAATTGGCCGGCCGTTCGTAAACTATGCTGCACCGATCGGGGTGCCGGGGACGAACGAGACGCAGATGAAGAAGGTTACGGGCTTGCCAGTACACCGCCTTTAGGACTGCGACAGGAAACCTCCTGATGTCGCCGGAGCATCACTTGCACAGTGAAACTCCTTAACTCGTAGCAGTGCAAGCAGTTCATATTGGGATGTTACCACAGGGAGCACCCCAATAGCCACCTAATAGAAGCTGAACCTTCACCGAGGTACATCAGAAAGGGAGTACTCGACTTAAAACACACCATCCAGCAACACGTGCAATAACCTGGACATGACGGCGTACATACACCCCCAGCGGAATTTACCCGCGGTAAGGCATGCCTGTCATAAGAGGCGACTAAAATCCAAAAGTTCTCGCGACTGTCGGGTCCTTATACCGGAACGACCCGTATTTTTATCCGGCCAAGGACTGTCACTACCGCAACATTCCCAAAAAAGTACTTTGGGGAATATTTTTTCGGTTACAACAACAACAACAAGGGCGGTCAGACAGACACTGAGTGCCGTTCACCAGGAGTCAGTAAACATCTTCAAAGACTCCCTTCCAGGGAATAGCGTGTTTTGGTCCAATCCCGTCGAAACAGCTCGCTTCCTGGACCTCCCACAAGATCACACAGATCCCTCCCACAAGATCGGCGACTTAGATTGATCAAGCGGGGTTAGCTGAATGTCTAACACTAAATTAATTATAATATGGCCTAGAAGATATTATTTTTAGCAAAATAAAATATTCGACAGGATGAGAGTTTTATGAAAATCCAGCTTCAAACAAAAACTAAACTGGATTACATATATAAGCTAATTAAACTTGATCAATTTATTATTAGATTTTTATCAACAAGAATTATTTCATAACTACTCATAAATTCAGTAGACAAATTAATTTCTAATGTGTTATTTAAAACTGTATGGTTGGAAAGAATTACACAATTTATAAAATTTTCAAAAAATTTTGTCTTCTGTTCGATTGAACGTGTATCTTTCGTTCCACTTAAAAACATAAAATAAAAATATATAGGAAGAATTGTCCCTGAAAAAAGGCTTCCGATCATTTGAGCCAAAATATTTCAGGAATGTACGATGTCATATCCCGCCAGCTCATAGAACGATTTTCCCATCTCTTTCTTATGGCCGAAATGACAAATGTGTTGTTTACGTTTGTATACGTACAACCATAACGAACAATTTTTGACTCGCCAGACCATAAAATGTTACGCCGTTTAGTCAAAGGCCAAGTCAAATTGTCTTTGGCGAAACGTAATCGTTTGACGACGTGTTGTTTAGCCAGCAAATGCACATTTCTAGGGCTCCGAGCTTACAGATCGTTTTCCCGTAGGCGTAGGCGAAGAGTTTCAACGCTGGCTCTCTCATTTAGAGATTTTTTTTATTTCGGTGGCAGCCGCAAACGGATATTGCTTTGAATATTTTACAGCAGACTTAACCGATTGAGTGCGCATTACTCGTTTTAGCGTTTCGACACCCGGTTTGTATTTTATAGCGTGATGTCTTGTACTTCTCTGTAGGGTTTTCCTTCGCCAATCAGCTTTTTAATAAGAGCCCGTGTCTCCATCTCCGGTATGCAATTTTTTTTTTTTTGACATCACTACATGCAGCATAATCAAAATTTCCACATTATAAAACAGAATACTGATAAAAGAATTAGTTCTTAGCGATTCCTTAATTTTTTAGTCCCAAAAACAAAAAGAATTTAATTTTTTTGAACTATTCTATGATTGCGCTACTAAGAATTTGACTGATCAAAAACACATTTTCCCTCAAAACTTAGCCGATTGCAATAACACCATTAATTCAAGCTTAACAACCAATGCATATCGTCATGTCGGCGCCTTAACGGTAATTACAGTGAAAGCGAAAAAAAAGTCTGAAATATAAAATTATGGTGAGTTACTTAATTAGCAAAATCACCACTAAGATTTTGGCAGCAACTGTATATACAAAAATTATTAAGATTCAGTATTTATTCCCCTAATTTTACACAGATCAGGTACATGGTTTATATACATAGTATAGAAACGAAATATCAATACAAAAATAAACTCGCTTTCAAATGTCATGCGTTGGTGACGCAGCTCCTCAGCTCCACGTACGCCTATGTGATTATGACGGCTCCTTTGAAGTCTACTTGCATTTTTACTTTGCAAAGTTTTGTCGAATACTTGTAAATCTGCTACTGCTGCAAGATGGGAAGCGTACATTCGAGTCAACCTTCTACATTAACAGTATTTTCCGTACAATATGCCCTTGAATAAAAACAATGTAAAGTGTAATGAAAAATGAAGTAGTTAATTAATCGACAATATATTATTTTATTACCACTGCTTGTGTAGATCCTTATCCATATTTCTCGCTTTCTTATGTTCTCTGTTATCTGCTACAGAAAAACGATGAAATGGCGTTATACTCAAAAATAAGAAAATAAAACGGATTATTCGTTCAACTGCATTCTTCTTTCATTTTTTATGTTCTCAGAAGTAAAAGATAAACAAAAGAATTTGCTTATGCGGTAGTGCTGCCCGAAATCGTGTGAGTGTATAGGTGAACCTATCAGCCCGTTCTTGCAGAAGTAAAGTTTTTTAAAAGTGGTTTTACATTAAAAATAAGTGAAATAATCGTTGATTATAAAGCGTTCGTATATGCCTTTCGCAGTCATTCCATTACATACAATATATAGGAAGTGAAAGTATTAGACTCGCCCAATTTAATTTCGTGGAAATGAGGAGTTCAGTTGTTTACAGTATAGCTGGCCGCCTATTTGAAGACGAATAGTGTTTTGATAATTTATAATTTAAGTCATTTAAATATTTCCCAACTTTTCTAACCGCAAAATAATATATTGAGTTGAAAACTCGAATTTTCGGAATAAAATTTAAAGATTTAAAACATACAATAATAATATCACTTTTCTCGCCAAAAGAAAACCGATTGAAGTCAATATTTCATATAGTTCTATGACCAGTAAATACAGACGTGTACGTGTGTACATTATTGTAGTTTCTGCTTAGAATATAACTCCAATAATAATTAATTAATTTCCATAGTGGCAAGATCAAACAATTCTGAGCAAACAAGTTAGGTGTCAAAAATTTTGAGGTAAATTGACATTTTAGACTTTCGTATATTGTTTGAATGGACTTAAAATTTTTCGTATAATTTCAATGCAATTCCGATTTATAACATTGAAGCGGAATAAAACAATAACTATGTACGAGTATTCTGTTTCTACCTTCGATTAGTGGGGGTCAAAATCATCGAAGATTGAAGTCTATTGTGAACGTAAAAATTATGTTTCACTATTTTTTCGATTCTCATGATTGTACAAATAGAAAAACAAATGAAATTAAACAGTCAACAAAAAAAATCTTGGACATTGACATTAATATTTGCTACATACACCTTGTTTCAAAGCATGATGAAATAATATAAATATATGGATATGTATAATCATTCGGTCACCCGAGTGGTTGGCTCGGTGTACTACCATTCGAAAGGCCAGGGCTCGGAAGTTGGTGCAACCAACATCCAAAATATATGAAATTAGTTTTTTGAATTGCAAAATTCATCCATATTATCTTTTAGGCTTTTCATAATATACATATATTAAATCTTTTTGGAATATTAAAAAAAATTTAGTTTGACAGGGTAACAGTTGAAACTATTCCAAATTTTATATAAAATATACCGTATGTTTCATGCTAGAGCAGATAGCCAGTAAATCATTATTATTCTGTTATACAAAACTTTAAATGGAAATTATTCCCCCTAAGTATACCTGATGACATATTGGCCAAACTGTGTTTTATTGAAAATTTCTGGTACGATTTGTAGCTTGGTGGAATGCCCAGTCCTATACATTTCAAGTACATATTATTAAAAGTCTTTGTTTTAATACCACAGGAAAAATGGAAAGTTTTACCTTTAACAGTTTATCACAAGAAAGTGAGGGAGAATGTATTTTTTCTGCCTAGAAAGATAATCTATTTTGGTATATTTTCCAAAAATTTCAATATTTGTTTAAATTCCCATAAAAGTCCCCGATTTTTCTTTTCTTGCTCCCCTTTCTCTTAAAATTCGAAAATACAACGTTGAGCTAAGGTAGTGTCAAAGTCTCTTTCTACTCTATTTACTTCACCAGTTTTTTTAATTTTATTTTGATAAATTTTTTTGGCTTTTCTTTTTAATATTATTATAGCGCTGAAAGAGAAATATATTTATCAAGCAGCATTGGAACGTTATAATCTGATGGATTATGATGAAATTAACTCCCGTGCAATTAGGGAAATGGCATACAATTTTAGCGCTTCGAACTGCACTGTTCCCATTGCTTTGGAAGCAATGTTTACCTATATTGAGAAACATCATGAACACGTAATTGGAGAAACTGTGGAGAAAGTTTTAAGTTGCGCATTTAATCAGGGTTACGTACCAAAGTCCGAATCTGTACTTGGAAAAGCTGCTACTATCTTAAAACGGTAAGTTGTTTATAAATATATATATACAAACACATAATTGTTTGACGTAGACTACAATATATTTGCTGCACTATCACATATTTATTATTTTAAATCAATAGCAAAACATTACGTTCCTTAACTCGTAGCATAGATGTTTCACTGTGCAACATAAGGAGGTTTTCTTTCGCAGTCCTGTCTGTACGCCGTCCTGTCCATCGTTTGTTGTGCATGTTGCTGGATGGGGTTTTTTTAGTCGAGTACTCCTTTCTGATGTTTCTAGGTGGAGGTTCAACTTCTGCTCCCTGCGGTAACACCCCAATAGGAACTGCTTGCACAGCAAAACATTATGTTCCTTAACCCGTAGCATAGATGCTTCACTGTGCAACATCAGGAGGTTTCCTTTCGCAGTCCTGAGGGCGATGTTCTGGTCAGCCTGTAGCTTCTTCATTTGCGTTTCGTCCAGATCGGTTCAGCATAGTTTACGACCGGGCGGCCAGTTGCTTTGTAAGTGGCCAGCAAAGTTTCCTTGTCCTTACCACAGGTGCTGCCGGCTAGCGCTTTGAGTATTTTGTTGCGGCTCTGGAGTTTTGCTGCAATTGAGGTCGTATGCGGAATGAAGGAGTGCAGGGTTGTCTAGTGTCACTTTCAATATCTTTAGGTTGTTTACTGTCGGAAGTTTTACGTCATCGACCTTCACATCTAGTTCAAGCCTGTATTCCTTCGACCAGCTGGTGAAGAGGGCAGCCGAGAATTTGGTCGGCTGTTTTTCACATGTCGTGCAGTGAGATAGTGAGAAAGATCGGCAAGGTAGCAGTTCACTTTCGAACAGAGGTCATCAAAATCTTGGCCAGTCGCCATTATCGTGCAATCATCGACATACAAGGTTAGGAAAACTCCTTGTGGAGAGGAGAGGACACCACCCTGCGGAAGCCTCTGTTTAATTTTTCTGGGCTTCCATATTTCACCTCGGAATATTACCGATGATTGTCTACCGCTACGACAACAACAACAACAACCGATGATTGTCGACCACTCAGGTAGCCCACCTCTACAACCCCGGCGGTAATGAGGATTACTCAACGTCCGTTAGTAGCACTGAATGGTTGACTGTGTCAAAAGCTTTTGACAAATTCAGTGCTACCAGGACAGCTCGCGCGTAGGGTCGGTTTTGGTTAAGGCCATTGTCCATCAGGGCGTTTATGACATGCTGCGGTGAGTTCTGTGGGACCGTAAAGGTCTGTTGGTTACCCAAAGTGGGTGAAGGTGCTGAAGACACTGGAGGCTGGGGTGCGCTTGGGCGCTGGAAGTATGGGGCCAAATAACTTGTGGTCCACTCCCTATGGGTCTTAAAGCCTGAGCAGGTCTTAAGATGACTCTTACCATTGCACCTAACCAAGGTGGAGGAGTGTTGGAGTCTCTTTTGGCACACACAGCAGATGTAATCCATCGGACCAGGGCTGTTTTCGACGCTACCCTTGATAAGAAGGATTTGGAGCAACCCAGCTGCGAAGTGTTGCTCCGTTGGCGAACTGAAATTAATGTTACCTGTTGGCCTAAACAGGGTTAGGCCGCCGAAAGGGTGACAGCCCTTGGCCGGATAAAATCCGAGTCAACTCCAGTATGTAGAACCGGCTGTCAGGTTCAGTCCAGCGACTTGTTGAGTTTGGTTTTCGTTCAACGAAAGAGGACTTTACTTTTCAATTGCCTACTCAGTACAAAGTATCATCTGTTGGCAAAAATGATTCTGCGTTGGATTTCAACGCTGTTGTTGTTGTTGTTGTTGTAGCGGTTCGCTACAATAACGCTGTCGTTATTATTGATGTTAATTCTGGTCCCCTGATAGAGGAAATTATCTACGTCAAGTTATGACTGCCAACAGTGGCTTTGGAGCAGATTCGCGAATGCGATGACTATTTGTTTGATGACAGAAGATATTTCATTTTGTCCCTGTTCACTACCAGACCCATTCGCTTCGCTTCTTTATCAACACGGTTGTCAAGGCCTCTGACGCGGCAATATGTAAAATATTGTACTTTGTCAATTAGCTCTGCAGCTCTTATTTTCTGAGAAGAACTGGTTCACGAACTTTTTAAGTGGTGTAGTAAACTACTTTTCCAAAAATAATGACAAGTTGTTGTCATTTAAAAAGTTCAAGTTCATTTAACATGTTCTACGTGCCTGCTTGAACATACTATTAGTTACATTTTAGTCGCGCGGTATTTACAGTGAAATAATTTTAGAAAATATTTGCTTACAATGTGCAAAACTTGCATATTTTTGAAGAAATGGCCAGACTAAAATACGAATCTACGCATGAAAATTTCGTAAGATTATTAGGACTACCTTGTCCCCCCCACATGGAAAAAATAAATTGCAATGAAAAAAAAATCGAAGCCCCGGATGAGAGACCCTCCTATTAATTGCGTCCCCCTCAAATGTTTAAAGGATCACTACTTGAGGGTATGCATCTAGAATATCCGGCCCCTTAATAAGGTTTCGCCTCGCAGCTTGTTGCTGTTCTTTTAAGAGTAAAGGCTAACATCACTGCGTCTTAAAAGTGCACTACTGGGCGGCAAAAGGACTCAAACGAGTAGGTCATATAAAGAAGTTCAAATTTAGTGTCGGATTCGAATGTCTCCCACTTCATCGCCGAGTACTAGCATTCCACTCGGTGGAAGAACGCTCCGTCATAATCCGCATAAACGCGATATGCGCCCTCGCCCCGCCATTATGAACAACGGCCCCACCACGAGAGATGCCGAGATACATAAGTATGAAAGCCTTAAGAATCTGAGTGACAATGCGACCACTATCAGAAGGTTTCAAGACCGGAACAAACTCTTGTAGGACTCAGGTAATTGATCTACTAAGTATGCTGAATTTGTTAAATTTTCCGTAGGTCCATGATGGGAAAGACTAAAGTCCTCTCTGGACGAACAAAAACCAAACTGCACTGCAGTACACCTGGTGGAGGAGGAAAATCCTGGTTTTACTTGATTTTCCAATTAGCGCTAAGCAGGAATGAATACTGCGCTGTTATTATGTCGGCTATAATGCTGTTGGCGCTTAGAAAGTGAGAATTTCATATAATTTACAATTCGCGATATCTTCTTCAGCGTAGTTTTTGGAGTGTCATAATTGTCCACAGTGTGTCGTATTGCTACAATACCAAAAAACCTAGCTCTTCAACCTCGAGCAATTGTGCGAAATACGGAACCCAAGATTTCTTTTTAAGTTATTTCTTTACCGTTCTTCTTTCATGTGATTGATTTGTTGCTTCGATTTCCCATTTTTTTGATCCAAATTCAAATAAACAATTTTTCGTTGCTGCGTTAATACACTACTAATGTTCTGTTGCTTCAGACTCGCACTAATTTTTCTAAAAGAATTTATTATACTTTAACAGTTTAAATTTCAAAAATTGTATCACATAAAAATCCAATAATATAAGTTTTAATTCCCCAGGGACTTCAAAGATATGAACGGATTGTCGATAGTACAGGCATGCATGGCACTTTGCTACTATAAAGCGATGCCGGAGGATCTTATCGATATGGTGTTTTGTGTAAAGTTTATACAGCGGATTGAAGAAGAGATTCAAATGTGCTACTCAAAGGTAAAATGTATTTTAATTCTCATATAAGCTATATAAATAAACTTTTTCAAAACGAATTTAACTATTTTTTCAATTTATATACTAATTTTTTTTGCTTGAGCTTCATTCAAAAAGAAAAACATTATTTGTTAGTATTGTTCGGTGACCTGATGGGCAGTAACAATTGTTACTACATTTTATGGCGAGGCAAAAAAAGCCAGCAAATTTGTAACGGGAGAACGCAATTTTCGTATTTCAATCATCCTTCCCAAAAATCTAAACGATAAGTTGTAAAGCAAGTCTTACATAAATAATCGTCTTTGCAGAGGACTATTAGAAAAGAAATATTTACTGATATCTTTATAGTTTGACGACTATTGTTGCTTGACAATAATTTTTGGATAATTAACTGTACATTAAAAGTGCCATAAATTTCCTAATTTTATTAAAATACTTAAACTGAGAGAATGAAGAAAGGATTCAAATTTAGCTACAAAATTTTACAGCTGTAGCACATAATTGTATATGATACATATATGTGTGTGAGTAAACACAGTATTGGTGAATTCCAAAACGTGAGTTGCAAAGCATCCATACATTGCCACGCATTCCTAAATACAACTGTGCAAGTTTTGACAATGTATCATGTTCCAAAATGCATAGGTAAAGTTATTGATGCACAAACAAAAGCAAACTGCGCATCGCTAAAGTTTGCTTTACTTTATCATAAATTCTTAGCAACAACGGCCGACGTCGGAGGGCAAGTTTTTTGCCCTAATTATTTTTTTATTATTTTTTTTTTTTTGATTTGTTTTATATTATAGCCATTTCACCGAAAATCAACTTATTTGCACGAAAAGCGAAAATGCCAGAGTTTGCAAAGTATTGTTGCAAATTTATAGAATGCAGGGTCGTAATCGCATCATTACACATTGACGTTTGGAAATCGCCCAATGTCAACTATTTGATCACATCTGGGTATCAGAAAACAATTTGTGTTTGTAATTTTTTTTGTTTGTAATGACACTTAAATTTTATTTCATATTTAAGGAAATAAATTAAAAGTAACATATTTTTTCAAGACACATGTTTGCTTTCTTGGAATTGTTAAAAATATATAACATTTAATATGACCATATTTTGCTTTGATTACTGTCTCAATTCGTTTGGGCATGGAATCCTCCTTCTTGCAGAAATCTCCGCTATTTTGCTATATTTTGCCAGCCATTTTGAGTCTTCCGCCATAAATTGTTAAAATTCTGAATTCAAAGCAAAGCATGTTCGATTGTGTTGAGATCTGGTGATTGAAGGGATCAGTCGAGTACTTCAAAGCTGTTGTTTTGAAGCCAGGCTAGAGAAGTCATTATCTTGCTGGAAGATGACGTCCGACACACTCCTGCCCCACACTTCTAGGTTTCTGCACAAACCTTCTCAAAGGATATCAACATATTAGTTGGCATCCATTCGCCGAAAACTCTTAGACTCCCTCCAAGCCCCTCCAGTCTCATACAGCCCCACTTCATTACACTATCCTCTCCTAACTTCAATGTTGGTTGAACAATGCGGCTGGTGAAAGGTTCAGGAGGTTTTCTCCAAATCTATTGCCGCCCATCTTTTCCCAGACCATTTGACTCGGATATAGTCAATTTGGGTATAGGTTTTATAATTTTTTTTACAAATTGGAGCCAAACCATGGGTGTTTCCAGCGTGCCGTTCAAAATTGGCATTCGTCCAGGTTTGTTGGTGGACAGCAGTTTCAGCCATTCCATATTAACTGTACGACATGGACTAATGAACTAATTTTTAAATAATAGTATTCTAAGGGCTATTTTTGATAAAAACAAAAAAAAAAAAAATAGAAATGCTCTTATAAAAATAACTAATTAAAAAATAGCAAATTGACAGAATTGGGTTATAATTTTTACTGCCTTCCTTCCATTCGGCCGGATTACACAAATAAATACATAACCCTGTATGATGGGTAGCTGTTACGTAACATGTCACGTATCTGTTATTTCAAATATATGTACATACATTTATCCGCTATGTTTCACGTACGTGTGATTCTTTTTTTATCTCACTGGAATTGTATTTTTTGGAATGATATTTCTGTTACCCTATTTGGAATTCATATGTTATTCAAAGCAAATTAAATGTCTGACAATGTATAATATAGAGAACGGGCAAAGTCAGAGAAAAATTTCGTTTCAGGTTTCTGTTTCACCTCGATGTGGGAAATTAACAGATGTGTGCGTATTCAAATCTAAGCAAATGTAAATTAACAGCTTTTTTTTATTTATTTTCATGACATACCAATGACCAAATTGAATTCAAATTCGAAACCACCAATTAATTACTGACAACATTTTAACAATTTTTAATATATTTATTGTGTACAAATCATACATTTTAATTTCTCTAAGATGACCTTTTGCATATTTGTATGTACATATGTATACTCTTATGCCTTTTAAGTACAAACATATTTACATATATATATGTTCATATGTATGTAAACGCTTTAAATACTTATCAGTCATAGTTTGCTAATCTCATTAAATGTGTAGAAGTTCACGTAAGTGAAGAAAATATCCCCTGGGAAGCCAATGAACGCCCGCTTGGAGGCGAGCTAAAGTGAGAAGGCAAATCCCATGCGGAATTGGGACGCCTCACATGAAAAACAAATTCCAAACAAAAAAAAATTTGTGCTTTGAATGAGAGAACCCTCTATTTATAACGAACCCCCAAATGTTTTAAGGATTACGATTTGAGGGCATGCACCTGGAATATCCGGTCCCCTAATTAAGAAGATGCCGCTGCCATCATCGCAGTCCAAGCAGTGCGATGGACTGGACAAGCACGAAAAAAGGCGAGACCTTGTGAAATTTACTACAGCGGCAATATAAAGGAGCGCAAATTTGATATCGGATTCGTGGTGGGAAAGAGAATCCGTCGCCGATTACTGGCATTCGCCCCAGTGGACGAACGTCTCGCCACAATCCGAAACAAAACGAAATTTTTTAACACCACGCTGGTTTGCGCCCATGCCCCGACGGTAGAGAAGAATGCCTTTTGCGGGATCATCCAGAAGATGTCGAAAAAGCTACAATAACTCCTGGTCACTGAGAGCGCTCATCATCACGAAATACGTGAGTATGAAGAACTTAAGAAGCCAGCCGACAAGGGTAATGCTCGATTATTCTATAAGAATATGTGGCGATTTACGGAAGGGAATACTTCTCCAGCCTGATGAATGGCAATCAAAATGAAACACCCGGATATGGTGAACCCGAAATTCGAATTGATAACGATGCAAAAGTTGTTTCGTTACACGACTATGAGAAGGTAATCTAAATCCAAATCTTGAAGAAGACCCGTGAAAAGAGGATCGACACACATCGCCTCTTCGCCGATTTGAAAGCAGCCTTCGACAGCACCAAATGGAGCTGCCTAAACGCCGCTATGTCTGAATTTGGTATCACAAAACTTATACGGCTATGTAAACTTACCTTAAGCAACACTCCAAGCTCCGTCAGGATCGGGAAGAACCTCTCCGAGCCGTTCGATACGAGTTTTCAGGGTGATTCCTTATCGTATGATTTCTTCAATTTTATGCTGGAGAAAATTGTAAGAACTGCTGAGCTGAATAGAGACGGTACAATCTTTTACAAAAGTTTACAACTCTTGGCGTATTCTATGATATTGATATCATAGGCCTTAAAAACCGCGCGTTAGTTCTGCTCTCTCCTCACTGGATAAGGAAGCGAAGCAAATGGGTCTGGTGATGAAAGAGGGCAAGACGAAATATCTCCTGTCATCAAGCAAACAGTCCCACGTCACTGTTTAGAGTCATAACTTCGAGATTGTAGATAATTTCGTCTATCCAAGGACCAATAATAACGTAAGTCTTGAAATCCAAAGCAGTATCATTCTTGCCAACAGGTGCTACTTTGGACTAAGTCCTCTCTTTACAAGTCGCCAATCATACCCGACCTATTATATGGCGCAGAGGTGGAACGATGCCAACATCTGATGAGTCGGCCATGGGAGCCTTCGAGAGAAAAGCTTTGAAAACGATTTGTGTTTTAACAACGGCGAATACCGCAGACGATCGAACGGTGAGCTGTACGAGCCATTTGATCATGAAGAGACCGTGGCTTCGCTAACTAGCTATTGTAGATGAAAACCCTCCAGCTTCGAAACTATTCCATACAGTACCCGCTGGTGGAAGCAGGGGAAGAGGAAGACCTCCACACCGTTGGAAGGATCAGTTGGAGATTAATCTTGTTTCACTTGTTATTTCCAACTGGCGCCAAATAGTAAAAAGAAGGTATGAATGGGGCGCTAATATTGATTCGGATATAAAAGAAGAAGAAATATATTTTGTATGTTTTTTTGATTTTTGTATACATAAAGGAGCTTTGAATGTATGGGTTTGCGACTTTTGCTCAACTTCGTCTTAAGCAAACTGTTTGGGGATGAGTCGAAGGAAAGAGGGATGGTAGCGGTAATTGTGCTTGTTGCTGTTATGTTCTTATTCTTTATTTTCTTGAACAAAAAATCAAATGTTCTTGAATTTTAGAATTTTAGCATTTGCTTCGCTACAAGAATTTTAAACAATGCCCGCATGATTGTTGAGGGATTTTTATTGCCGACTGTACTATGTGAACAGAATTCTAGGTTTGTTCTGCTACCGGTTTTAAAATAAAAAAAAATTTTTAAAATACTTATTGGAATGGTAAGATTAATCGATTTAGGAATATCTGTTCTCCGTCTCTATACACCACAGCTCGAGTAAGAAATAAGATGTTTTAAACAGTGTTACATATACATAAATAACAACCGATTATCTATAAAGCAAGTGTTGAGACGGGTAAGCGGGGTTTGCTCGATTGTCTTTATGAAATTAATTTATTTTGCTTTATTCTATGGCGCATGCCTATGTGAATGAAAACCTTTGCAAATATTTTACTTATACATGTATGTGTGTATGTATGTATGGAAATATGTGAATTTCTGCATGTGGATAACAGAAGCACGTACATTCATACATCATGTGTACATGCATATGTTTGCATGGTTAATGTGAAATTTATATATTTGCTACAATTAATAATAATTCGCGGCCGCGGTAGCCGAGTGGTTATCAGCCGTTCGGAGGCGGCTTAGTATAAACTGTAGTTCTTTCCATTTTTGGGAAAAACATCAAGGCACAAAACCACAAATTGGAGGATGAGCTCAACCGAAAATCGCTTCAATAGTAACAAAGTGTCAATTATATAAAAATGTATATATGTTAACGACCGCCCTAATTTCAAACCCTTTCTTCTCTAAAGCTTCTTTTATGTCACCTGAGCCACTGCACTATCATGTCGTTCGAATGAATAGGAATTTATGACGTTGAGTGAAGGGAAGCAACAAGGCTATTGTCTCATGTGATTCTGGATGATTTTTCCGGTCTTTTTGTTTTTGAACTCTTGCCTTGGACAGTTCACAAATATTTTCATGTGTGATACAGTGATGTATTACCCATTTTTGAAATGGGGAAACTGAATAAATTTTTTTTGTTTCAAAAGCGAAGTGCTCATTTGACCCCTTAAAAAATTAAAACATTCATGTGCTTATGAAATAAGCAACTCCTTACATTGATGATATTTTTTTAAGTACTACAGCTCAAAACGGAAAAGTATCTACTGTCTTGTTGAAAGTGAACATTACTCATATCAAAGCCATCCGATTCCGGCCATAAAAAATCATTAATCATCTCTCGATAGCACAATCCACTCACCGCAACTGTTGCTCCAGCCTCATTTTCATTCCAAAGACCTACGAGTTGTTTTCTTTTGGGCAACAAAACCGAAATTTTCAGTTGTTTTTAAGCGACTTGTACCTGTTTTATTCTTCACACCTCTGACTTGTGACAACATATTTTCCACCAGTTTCTGTATTGCGGTACAAGGCGTGTGCCAGGTTTTCCCCATTTTTATAGTGAAATTGAATAATTTTAATGCGTTGTTGAATCAGGATGTACCGTCACATTTTTGCTAATGGCGTAGTTTTTTCTTGTCAAATGTATACAAATTAGAGCTTTAAAAATGATATATATCGGAATAGCAGGCTATTCAAAATAACACCTCTATATACACATGTTTTTTCATATATCGATATTAACATTTTTTATACATTTACAGGCGACCTATCCAGAAAGAGTACTTAACTCAATAATGAAGTTGAATCGTACAGTATGTTTAGATTATCCTGAAGCAAACGTACCATGGTTTCAACAAAATTACCTTGAAGCGCAACTTAGTAAAAGTAAGTAGTTAATTTCTTAGGTATGTCAACCAGTTATCCCATTGGAAACGATTTGTTTGTTACATAAATAGTGCTATTAATATTTAACAGATTGTTAAACTCAAAAGGCATCATAGGTATACTTTTAGCCTTGGCAAAAATTATTCATAGAATTACGAGTTTAATTCACCCGCACTATTATTATTATTCCGGTTAATAGATATTATTGAATATAGTAGACTAAAAATATTAAAAAATCAGCTGCTGTTATGCTGATCAATAATATTAAACATTGTTTAACCTTCGCATACAAATCGGTCTCACAGTTTTAGATACGTTTTGTAAGCAGACGGGACCATTGTTTTAATAATTGTTGGGCTTTTAAAGCAGTGCAAACTCATTATAAAAATTTTATAATTATGTCGCGTAAGTCGATTAAATTTCAATCTAACCACCACAAATATATTGATATTAGTCAGTTAGTTAGATAAACAGCTTGCTCGATCTGTTGGTTTTGTGAAGAAGATTCCTCTCACCTTTCCAGATGTTCAAACCGCTTGATGTATTTTACGAAGTTCAGGCGATTGATACCTAAAGATGGAAGCTATGCTAAGCAATCGAAGAAAAAATTTCCGTGAAATCGATAACGGACTGAACGTTAAGCTGGGCAGTCGCAGAAAAGTTGCTTGATCAGGTTAATACGCCGGTTGTTATGCTTTTGGTGATCCTACTTATGAGTAAGGACTTCACTTCGACGTGCTCTTGACCCTTCTGGTGACGGCTAGTCTTAACAAATACTTAGCCGAGGAAAGAGGTACGTCTACGACATGTGCAAAGTTTACCGGTGTTTTGACTAACCCTATCCGGTCAGCTCATCAACCTATTCCCTGGGGTGTATCTATGACCACGTAGCCAAACCACGGACGATTTGCTTATAGTTGAATAATCCTATAAGTCTAAGCTTCGAAACATAGTAAAAAATGTCAACTCTTTCCATTTTATTTATAATAAAAATCATTTTCTTTCTTCTGGCGCCTAAGGAAAACGGCTTGAAACAAATACTTGTATTGATCCGATGATACTTAGCACGTTTAGTGTCAATTTCGAAGTGAAACTACCTTATGGAGTTTTGTTTCCGAAAAATTTTAAAATAAATTAATTTATCTATGAAACAGCGTAACATTTTGACTATAAAACTATAAAGCATTGCATGGCAATTGTTTAAATTACAATGTAAATGTATATTTACTCTCAAAAAAATTTAAATTATGAAAAGTAATATAATTTTTTAACAAAACATTCCTCCGACTTTTGGTGTCATGTAATACGAATGACATGAGTAAATAATGTCGAAAACGTTTAAAATTCGAGGTGAACGGATAGTATTTATACAAATTTAATACATGTATGCAGAAACCGATTTTCGCATAATTTCCCTATTTAGTTTAATAACTCGAAGCTGGGGAAAAAGTATGATGTTTCACTGTGTGAAAAACTAAAGTTCCCTCAGCAGCACAAATTTTACTTGATTTTGCGTAAATGAACGTATAGATAGATTAGCATTAGGAATTGATCCTCCATTTTTATTTTTTTGCTTTTCAGTGTTGATGTGTTTCTACAAGCCTGTTTCTCCTGAGATTAAAGAATACGAATTCGAAAATAGAAAATCAAACTAAAAAAAAGCATCAGCAACATAAAAAACCTGATCGGGCTGCTGAGAAAAGTCGGGCAGCAACTATGCAACAACTAAATTTGTTCATAAAGTCTCTTCACAATTTCTGAGCGCGTATCTTTGTCTCACAGTTCTTCTCAGCATTTCGGTCCGTTACTTTCTGTACTTTATATGTTTTCCATCCCACTTCTGCTTTCACTTTTTATATTTAGAATTGTATTTCTAAGAAAGAAGCAATAATTGAAATGCACTCCTTAGGTCAGTCCATATTGTGAAAGACAGATATTCATCTGACACTTAGACACTTAGACATACATATGTATATCTAATAAGTAAAATTCTCTTACGTAGTAAGTAATTTTCGAATACATCATACGGCTTAATATATATTTAATAACAGTTAATAAATCATTTAATAAATGTTATCGGATAATTTATATTAAGGAAACTTGGTAGCTTATCCTTATCTCTTCCCCCCGGTAAAGTGACTACAGCGTAGCGTTTAAACGCTTCCTAATTACAAAATAAGAATCTAAATAAATGGAGACATGAATAAATCTTTTTAAACAATTCAATCTCTGGAACACTGCTCAACATTCCGAGAAACTATTGATTCGTACACAAAAATTTTAATTGGTCGAGCCCTTTAGAAAGAGTGTGCGTGTGGAAAATATGACTTTTGTTATTTGTAGATCTGAAACTGACTATGATACGAGTACACAAAAAGTTGAAGTGCAGTTTATCTTTATAGTGTCACCGATGCCATGAATACGGCCCTTTATTATTTCCTTTACACTTTACAATAGTATTCTATGATTAATTATGCACTAATAAAACTTGTTTATATTTTAGAACCCACACCCCAGTGTAAATTTGGAGATGAAGTAAAAAGACTACTGAAAGCGGTGTTAAGCAGTGATAGTTATTTCAGTTGTAATCATATAACACCTTATGGATATCAAGTAAGCACAATTCTTAATAGCTTGATTACTTTTGACATGTTCTTTTTGTTTTTTAGATTGATTTTGTAATACATTTCGATAAAAACCATAAACCCATTGCAGCCCCAGTTGAAACAATGATATTGGATCGTATTACAAAGTAAGAGTGTCCTATTAATTTTATAAACATGGTGTAGTGAACATGACATCATTTGCAGGGTTGCAATACTGCTATTACGTCTGGATTCGTTTTGTAAAAATGATCTAACTGCACTACGTGGACCTGAGCACCTTAGGACGAAACATTTGGAAATGATGGGCTACAAAGTGATACACATCAATGAACATGATTGGAATACAAAATATATGAATTCACCCAAGACTAAAACTAACTACCTTAAATGTCTTCTGCAGATATAAAAATTACTGTTATCTACCCTGAGTTCTAATGTTTATGTTGACCTGTATTTGTTACACAGTACGGAAAAATTAAATTTCTTTCAGTATACGTGAAGATGTTATCAGAATATGAAACTACGCTTAAAATAAAGAAATCGTGCCACGGCGTTTTGCTGCAGCTCGTTAGAATTTAGAGAAAATCGACTTTTAAGCTTGAAAGGACAAGGGACGAAGATTTTTGGTAGGTGAATATAAGCCGCAAGTAAAACAAAAGTGATTTCGATTTGGACCATTCATTTTATTTTATTGTTATTTTATTTTGTTTATTTATATTTTTTTTTCAAAATGCTTTATTTATTACCAAATAATAATGTGTAATAGTTGTATTGTTGTTGTAGTAACGGCTACGTTAACCCCGCTTAGGGACAGTCTGGGTCACCGAGGTCATCTGACGGGAGGTCCAGGAAACGTGTTGGTTTGACGAGATCGGGATAGAGAGAGAGAGGGGGTTAGATGTTTCGGCTTAAGCATGTGAAGAGGTGGTTAGTGTCGTGTGGATACTCTCCACATGCAGGGCATACGTTGGATATGCTAGTGTCGAATCTGGATAAGTAAGAATTTAACTTGCTACAATATCCAGACCTAAGCTCGAGCTCGTTGGCTGCAATGGGTTCTGGTTTTATTCCGAGCAAGCCATTCACTGGTGGGGAGTTTTTGAAGGTGGTTACTGACTCCTGCTTCTGCTTGTCTGTGCGCTGTCCTGCCCAGCGGTTGTTACACATGATGCTTGATTGTGTCCTTTAAGTCTAGTACTCCCTTACTGCTGTGCCTAAGTGGAGGTTCAGATTCTATTATGTGCCTATTGGGGTGCTCCCTACGTCCCAATAGGAACTGGTCACACAGCAAAAAATTATGCTCCTTAACTCGTTGCATAGATGCTTCGCTGTGAAAGTAATGCTCCGATCATATCAGGAGGTTCCCTGTCGCAGTCCTGAGGGCAGTGTTCTGACAAGCCTGTCACTTCTTCATCTGCGTCGCGTTCGTCCCCGGCGCCCAGATCGGTGCAGCATAGTTTTTTTTTGTCTTTACCCCAGGTGCTGCCGGCTACCGGTTTGAGTATTTTGTTGCGTCTTGAGGTTATTTGTCGTCGGAATTTTCACGTCATCAACCTTCACATTTAATTCGAGCCTGTACTCCTTCGTCCAGCTGGTGAAGAGAGTACTGGGGAGAGGACACCACCCTGCGGAACCCCCTGTTTAATTTTCCTAAGTTTCGATGTTTCACACTCGAAATATTACCGATGATTGTCGACTACTCAGGTAGCCCAAACCCATGATCCACCATATTCAGGGGAAGAACAGTTCGTTGACCCCATTGAGGACATTGATCAAACAGAGGAGAAGCATTTTCAAACAGATGGTCTTCTGCAAGCTCAAATTGCTAACTTACCTGGCTCAAGGCAAGCATCTACATTCAGGGAGTATGATCCCATAGATCGTTTGGTTGTACAGCAAGCATTGTTTCTGGAAACATTTACTGCTAGACATAGTGAGCAAAACGTGCATCTTACAAAAATACAATTACCACAAGTTCAACGGAAAGTACGATAATTGGATTACCTTTCGTGATTTGTTTCTCAGCACCGTGGAAAACAAATTAGGGTTAACACTCAAAAATTTCAATATTTAATATCGTATTTAGAAGGTGATGCCCTAGCACATACATAACATTAGTCAAACGGTACGACCGCAAACCGCTAATTATTAGGTCAGTTGTCCAATCGTTTTTGGCTATTCCGACACTCTCTTCAAACAACCTAACGGCACTTCGCCAAGTAGTTGATGGGGCAAGTCATGCCATTCGAGGTCTAGACGCATTCGATGTTGTCATCCGCGACCCATGGATAACGCAACTCCTTCATAATAAGATGGACGAAGACACTCGAAAACAGTGGGCAGACAAATACGATAACCATAGCGATAAATGTTCTGACAATTTGCATGAGTTTCTTTTTCATCGCTGCTATATACTTGAAGCCTGCGTACTTCCTCGCTCATTAAACCCGCGTCGCGGCGCTTTGTTGGCTTATGTAGGTGATTATTGAAAAAAATTAGCGTTGGATTTCAAAGCTGACGTTGTTATTGGCTTTGATGCTGGTTCCTAGATAGAAAAAATTATCTACGACCTCGAAGTTATTACTGTCAACAGTGACGTGAGAGCCGAGTAACGAGAGTGCTGACTGTATAAGATTGTACCTTCTCTATTCAGCTCTGCAGCTCGTATTATTTTCTCCTTAAGTCTTTCACACAATACGGTTGATAGAACCTTTATGCGATGTTAAGAAGGCTTATTACCCGGTAGTTGGCGCAGACTGTGGTGTACTCTTTTTCGTGGATTGGGCAGAGCACACTTAGGTTCCAATTCGGCGGGCATGCTTTCGTCCGACCATATTCTGCAAAGTAGCTGATGCATGCACCGTGTAAGCTCTTCACCGTCATGTTTGAATAGTTCTGCCGGTAGGCCGTCAGCTCCAGATGCTTTGCTGATTTTTAAGCGGGCCATTGCTATTCGAGCTTCTTCATGGTCAGGTAATTCCATACATCTTTTCCATCGGGTTCGATTGCGGTTTCGGGTTCACCATCTCCGGATACTCCGTTTTCACTGCTATTCAGCAGGCTCTAGAATTGTTCCCTCCATAAATTTAATATGCTCTGGACATCGGTGGTTAGATCACCTTTTTGTTTTCTCCGGTCCTGAACCCCTCCGTAAGTCGTCGTATCTTTTCGTAAAATTTTCGAGCATTACCCTTGTCGGCTAGCATCTCAAGCGCCTCGTATTCACGCATCTCGGCCTCTATCTTTTTTTGTCCGAGTGATGTTAGTGCCTCGGATCGTACGCACATTTAAAACGCTGGAGACATGTCTTCCGTCTAACACAACATTATCGATCTGGTTTTAAGTCTTTCGATCTGGACAAAGCCAAGTAGCTTGATGAATTTTCTTGTGCTGGAATATAGTAGTACAGTCATCCTTTGCTTCCGTCGGGGCGTATGCGTAAATTAGCGTGGTGATAAAGTATTTCGTTTTGATTCGGATTTTAACGAGACGTTCGTCCACTGGGTGAAAGCCAGTACTCCATCGCATTTCTTGGACGTCGGTGATGTCAGCTTTTAACTTTATGGGACATCAACTAACTGGGCAGCGACACCTTCCCAATTAAGGGACCGGACATTTGAGGTGCATGCCCTAAAATCGTAATCCTTAGTTCATTTGCGGGGGTCGTCAACAGAAAGGGGGTATCTCATCCGAGGCTGATTAGAATTTTTCATTGGACTTTGTTTTTCATGTGGTGGGTCCCAAACTCTAAACACAACCGCCTTCTCACTCTAGCTCACCTCCAAACGGATGTTTATTGGCTACCCAGTGGATACGTGGTCTAAGACCGGAAGTCGAGAACCATATGTAGAAGAGTCGTCTCGCACTTTTAAATTTTTAGCGTTCGATAAAGTAAATCATCTTATACTTATAAAAATCCTATATCTTCTTGGATTAGAGCCTAATTTATCTCTCGAACAGAACGCAAAGATTTGTATTTAAAGATTCCTTTGATGTAACCTCAAACGTTCCGCAAGGGAGAGTTCGGCTCAGTGATGTCCTAATTATAATTTCACTTATGATAATATTGAGTTCGTTAAAAAACAGTTTTCGTTGTTTTCTTTGCGTCACTTCCACTGGGATTCTGGCCAAAATAATATACCGTATAGATTGAGTTGGCAATGGAAAAGTCAAATTCTCTCGACAAGTCGCTGTCCTGTTATATAGACGAAGATTTATGATCCTTGATGATAAGTTATAAGTGGTGGGGGAAGTAACGTGTGAGGACGGTAGGTAATGTGAAGGTGCTACACAGCTTTATCGTCGCGCAGATTGTAGATGAGGTAATCATAGGAGTGGACTTCTTGATGGATCAAGGTATCAAGATTGATTTTAATAACAACATTATGGAATATAAGAACATGGAAGTACCACTAAGCATTGGCTATAATTCCACGCACAGCAGCAAGCAAGTGATCTTAGAAGGCAGCGAGCTGATTCCACCAAAGTCAGAAGCAGTTGTGTAGGCAAAAATTAATGGAGATTGTGGGAGAAGCAAATTGTGGGTTGTCGAAGCAACACAAGATTCTACACCGAACATAGTTATTGGTAAAACCCTGGCTAAGGCGGAAAAGAATGGACGCATCCCAGTGAGAGTATTAAATGACTTCAGATCACCAGTAAAAATTCCTGGAGGGACTATATAAGGGCAATGTAAAGAAGAAGCCATCATAAATGACTCATCGGAAAATGAATCCATTAGCAGGAAAGACATGAAGGAAGAAATAATAATAATAAGAAATGGAAGACAACTACAAGCAAAATGCCAGCCAACTTATCCGCAAATACTCAAACATATTTGACAAGGAAGGGAACAAACCAGGCAGGACCAACGTAGTGAAACATTACATCGATACGGGTGGCGCAATCCCAATTCGTCAAGCTCCTCGAAGCGTTCCACTAGCCAAACGTGACACTGTTGGCCAAATAATTAAGGAAATGAGCGAAAGCGGTGTTATCGAGCCATCTGCAAGTCCTTGGAGCTCTCCGGTAGTACTCGTGAAGAAGAAAGATGGCCAGTTGCGGTTCTGCGTGGACTATCGAAGATTAAACGATGTCACAAAGAAGGACAGCTATCCTTTGCCCAGGATCGATGATACACTAGACTCATTAACTGGCACAGAATGGTTCTCAACACTCGACCTTAAGAGCGGGTATTGGCAAGTGGAAATGAGTGAAGAAGATAAGGAGAAGACAGCCTTTAGTGTTGGCAACGGTCTATGGCAATTTACGGTAATGCCATTTGGGTTATGCAACGCTCCTGCCACGTTTGAAAGACTAATGGACCATGTGCTCAAAGGATTACACTGGAAGACTTGTTTGGTGTATCTGGACGACATCATCGTATTGGGGAAAAGCTTCGATGAACATCTGCGTAATTTGGAAGAAGTGTTCCAGAGAGTAGCTGGCGCTGGTCTTAAACTAAGTCCTAAGAAGTGCTCTTTATTCAAGAAGGAGGTGAATTACTTAGGTCATCAAGTAACAACGAAGGGCGTTTGTACTGCGAAGGAAAAAATAGAAGCAGTGAAGGATTGGCCGAGACCCAGGAATTTGCATGAATTGAGAAGCTTTCTTGGGCTGTGTACTTATTATCGCCAAATTTGTTCCGAATTTCGCCAGCGTCGCTCATAGTCTCCATGAGCTTACAAGGAAGAATAGATCATTCGAGTGAAAAACTGAACAAGAGGAGGCCTTCCAAGCTTAAAAAAAAACGGCTATGCACTGCGCCTATGCTAGCGTACCCGGTTCTACGTGCAACATTTATTCTGGACACAGATTCTAGTGGGTATGGCATAGGAGGTGTACTCTCGCAAGAAATTGATGTCCCCAAAACTTCAATGTAATTGGGAAGGTCCAACAAGATAATCAAACGACTAAACGGCGTAGTATCGAATCCAAACCGTTGGGAGTCCAAGAAACAAGATGAAAGTGGTCCACCTTGAGAGGCTTGCTGAGTTTGGAACAGCGAATGTGTCTGATCGGGACGATCGTCAGCGAGCAGCCGACTGCTATATAAGGGTGACACTCAGCTGCCAAGTCAAGTCAGTTACAAAGTGAACTCGTTTGCGACAACATAGAGTCTAGCGGAAAAAACTATTTGAGTCGTAAAGCAAACGCGTTGAAGATTACATTGAAGTAAAGTAGATTGTGAAAGTCTTATAAAAGTGATTATAACTAGTAAAGTTCTTAGTAATTGAATGGTGAATTACTGAGTAAATAAAGGACATTAGATAAATTCTTTATAACGAAAGAAACTGCAAATGAAGTTGGCGATTTTTTATTTAATAATCTAGAGATCGTACCCGAAGGATTCATAAAATCATCGATGTTGATTCAGCAAAATCGTAATAATATTGTTGCGATTTTACTAAATCAACCTCGATGATTTTCTAAATCCTTCGGGTACGATCTCTGGATTGTTAAATAAAACTCGCCAACTTAATTTGCAGTTTCTTTCGTTACAAAGAATTTATCTAATGTCTTTTATTTACTCCGTAATTCACAATACAATTACAATACACTCTACTATTTACAATCACTATCATCAACTTGCACAATTCACTCTACTTAAATGTACTCTCCAACGTGTTTACTTTACGACTTTACTGATGTTAACGCCAACGAGTTTACTTTATCACTAACTTGACTTGCAGCTGAGTGTCGCCTTTATATAGCAGTCGGCTGCTCGCAGACGAAAGCGTAGAAGCATCGAATTGTTCGCTATGGAAGGTTCTTGTTTTATCGTTTCTAGAACGTAC